GAAAGCTGGCTGCCTCTTTTTCCAATCTTTCAAACCTCTCTGTCAGAGAAAATTCCAGATGCAATTACCCTTCACTAAAGAAAGGTGTATTTCAACAGGCTGGTGAATATGCGTCTACCACACACACAACACACAGTAAACTCTGCAGCCACTGGGAACAAACACCCTGCTCTCCCCAGAAACCCACCCCCTTACCAAACAGTACACAGTGATTGCTTTCCTTCCAGACTCTGCCTCACCTCTGGGAGAAATGAAGCAAGAAGGGATAGCTCCTCCATCAAAAACCCCCAGAGGCCACGACTCACTTTACAAATTTGAATCGGTACATTTCATGCAGACTTGGACTAATCCCCCCAAAAACAAACAGGCCACCACAGTGAGCAAAGTTACACAAAATTATATTGTATATTTAATAACACAGCTAAGTCAAGTTTCTACACCTATACCACTCATATATTTCCCTAATGACAGAAACAAGACAGAAGGGATTAAAACCCAAGTGTCCTGGGAAGCCTTCCTGACCACACTCACTCACACGATAGCACGCGTTGTTCGGAGATGGGGAAAGGATTCTGCTGAGCACCTCCTTTTTCTTGGAGGGTAATAAATATGGTGCCTGCAGAGGAAGGAGGAGCTGTGGGCCCCTCTCTCTTCCCCTTCCAGGTAAACAGGGCAAGTGGGTCTATAGATTCATTTCACCACCAAAGCCCCCACAGCTGGCTTGGAGGGGCCCCTGCAAACTGAAGACCTATGTGCATTCACACTCCTGGAATGGTGCAAGCATTCACAGCTACCTGAGTGAGCCTAGGTCTTGATTACATACTGCCTTCCCCCACCACTCTCTATCTCTACTCTGGCCTCCAAGAAGAGAGAACAGAGCCTTTCAAGGGCCACAGCTACTGTCCAAGATGGATGAAGGCATAGCAATGACCCAGAGGCCTGCCATCCCCACCACTGAATAAGATCCTCGGGGGAGCTTCCACACAGCAAGTGTTCACTGAATACACAGCAAGTGAGAAGGAAAGAAACTGAGAAAGGAAAAGATGTAAAGTAGAAGGGAATAGAATAGAGTCTTTAACAGTTCTGCCTTTCCTCACTCTTGAGTATTTACTAACTTTACTCAGCTGGAATTTTATTTTATTTTATTTTTTTGGTGAGGAAGATTAGCCCTGAGCTAACATCTGTTGCCAATCCTCCTCTTTTTGCTGAGGAAGATTGGCCCTGGGCTAACATCTGTGTCCATCTTCCTCTACTTTATATGTGGGACGCCTGTCACAGCATGGCTTGAGAAGCAGTGTGTAGGTCTGCACCCGGGATCTGAACCTGCAAAACCCAGGCCGCCGAAGTGGGGTGCATGAACTTAACCACTACGCCACCAGGCCGGCCCCTGGAAATAATTTTTAAATGGCAATAAAACATATTGCACATTTACAAAACTCTGCTTTTCTGTGTTACTCATGGAAAAGTGGTTAGAATTCAATGTGACCTTGGGAGGTTGTATCTCTGAGAGGAGTATTTCTGAATGTATTTTGGCCCCACAATTACACCCAGACGTGTCCCTTATACCCTAGGCATGCCTCCATCATCTCACTCCTGTTCCATCTCAACCCGTCCTTCTTTCACTCATCAAACAGCTCCAGGCTGCGGCTCCTCTACAGGAGGAAGGCTGCATCTCTAAGTCATGAATCTTAAAAACAGGATTATTGGAGTTGGGGCAAGAAGTTGGGTAGGAGGACCCACAGGAGGTAGAGGAAAAGGTCCTTGCCTGCCACCCTCCTGTGGTGACTACTGGTTTTCCTTCTGTGTTTTTTGAGTACCTAACACAGCTCTAAGCACATAACTGGTATTAAATATCATCCTCCATGACTGTTTACAAATCAAGAACTCAAAGTCACGGAAGGAAGGAAAGGCGACATTTGGACACAGGATAGGATACCTGCTTTCTCCCAGTCATGAGCACCTCAAATGAAGCCTCAGGCCTGAAGTTTCATATTTCATACTACGTGTCTCAGTACACACATAATAAGCCATCAAAGATAAATACAGTGAATAGTTCTAACAAATTATTTTAAATAGAAGAAAGGGGTTAATTGAGAAAAGGGATGTGCCAGATCTCCTAACTGTCTAGGTTCCTTCTAATGATAGAAGGGAGCAGCGAGGGGGTGAGAAGTTCTTGGGTGAACCAGGAGTACTTGCCCTAGAAGACAACCGCTGCCCACCTCCCCTCATGTTGTTCATGGGCACATCACATTAGTGACACCAACAACCATACTCAACAGGGAAGGTGGTAGGGAGGGGAACAGAAGGCAGCCATCGAGGGCAGGAACACTACAGGGAGAAAAAGAGAGGAAAGAGAGATTCCTGCTAACTCCCCACCTCAAAAAGACTGCAAAAGAGCATGTAACTCCATGAGGGCCAGGAGAAGTCCTGGGCAAGGGTGGCGACATGAGAGCAGCTAAAGCCATTAAACAAATGCTATACCAGAGCTCTAGGAGAAATTCTGGCTGACATGTATTATAGCCCTTCTAGCTTTGCAGAGTATTTTCTTATTCATTATTTCAGGTCATCTTCACAATAATCTAGTAAAGTCTATAAAGGAAATAGTATTTACATTTAATAGATGAGGAAACTTAGGCTCAGATAAGGGATGAACTACGTGAGGCCACTCTGCTGGTTGGTGGCAAAGCAGAACTCCAGCCTCCCAGAATAGACCCTAAGGCTGGAGGCAGTGTCTCCTCAGATTGGGAAAATGGATGAGTTTACTGAAAGGTTCAAATTCATGGACACAGTGAGAAGAAACAGATCTAATAATAAGATGAAAAGATTCCTATCCCAGTATATTCTTTGGTTCAGAGAAAAAGGGGCAGAGGTAACCCCAGCACGTACCCTAGTCATCTGGTCATCTAGTGTAAAGACAGGATCCCAAATGCAAACTATTTGTTAAAAGAGTCCAAGACACCATCCGTGGAGTTGGGGAAAAGGTCATCTCAAATAACTGTGGGTCAGGAGCTGAACAGCCAGCCAACAGTGAGTGAAAGAATCATCCCAGGGCTAAGAAAGTACACCAAGAGGACAAGAAGACTCTGAAGGAGAACATGAAGAAAACAAGACCCAGGTCTTCACCAAAGATGAGGCACATCAAGGAGTTAGCAAAGGGAGGATTGGCATAGAGTAAATGACTAACAAATGTTAGCTGCTAGTAGTAGTAGCAGTCATAGAGTAGCACTAGTAATATTAGAAAGCTAGATCCTCCCTCAAAGCCAGTTTCCAACTTGTGGCCAAAAAAAACCTTTTTATTGTGATCTAAAATGCTTCTTAATGATGAAGGCAGACTCTGTCCTCAATCTCTTTCACTGACACCATCTTCAACATTTGCCATGTTCCATTCTTTTAACAGGTTGCCTAACACGTTCCAGAGGAGGTGGCTGGAGTAGAGGAATATGGGGGTGGGGTGCTGGGAGAGCCTGTTTGTGTTCTTTGGGCTAAATCCACATGCAGGAAGCCCATTGACCATCTTCAGCCCTGAAAAGCTTCCCTCTACCACCAATCCCACCCCAGCCCACCCTAGTCTCCTAAAGCCAGTAGGAGTCCACAGGCAACCACCAAGACAAAGTCACCAGCCCACCTGTCACCTCCCACAGGCTGTCCTGCCTTCCTTCAAGCCTTAACACATGTCTAGCCCACAGACCCCCAAGCCTGTCTAACTGGCTTTAAAAGGGGCAGCATTAGGAAGAAACTGAGGAGGGGACAAAGCTCGATGCTCCATTTTCCACCCTCCGCTCCCACACACTTAGGCCTTTGTACTCCCTGCTGGTCTTTCCTTCCCTCTTTCCAAGGATTGCTAGAATGATTTGTTCCAAACAGCGACAGGTTTATAGGTTAGCCGACACCTCCGCTCTGTGGAATTTTAATTAACTTCTCCCATCGTCAATATGTTAAGGAATGGGGTCTCCATTCTCTGGGGTCAGCAATGTGTTTCAGGTCCTGCTATATCAGCCGTCAAATTGAAGAATTAATGACGTGGCTAATCGGCTCTAATTCTTTAGGAAGAAAAAAATTTGAAAGGGAGTTGTGGAAGGGGGCAGGAGGAGGGGTGCAGGCTCCATGGGGTGAGGAGAAGGAGGCTGAAGGGGCCTGAGTAAAGGGGGAGGATCAACTCACTCATAAAACAAGTGACTGACTTAAACCCAGTGTTGGAGGGTGGCAGCCCTACAGTTTTCTCATTGATCATTTAGGAGGGGAGTGAGGAGTGAAGGAAGTGGGGGAAGACCCTAGGTAAACACTTTGATAAAGCAGGTGCAGGAGAGGGTGTCTATGTACCCTCCTGGGTAGGAGAGACACTCTGCCTTGGTTCAAGAGAGCATAGAAAGCAGAAGTCAGGATGCAAAGCTCACTCGTTCATAGGTAAACTAGAGAAATACCAGTCAAGCCAAAGCGTAGGGTAAAGCCACCATCAAAAATTGGCACTTCTGCTACAAGTGTCAATGAATCTACTCCACGTCCACATCTTTGGATGAGGGCCCAATTGGACATGGGCCCCAAGCCTCTCCTGATGACTCAACTCTGTATGGGACACTCCAGAAGACATTTTCCAAGGGGAACAGACTACAGATGTGAGTTGTGAGAGCAGGTTGGCTGATGCTGTCACCTCCCAGGGGTGCTATGAGGCCTCTGCTTTGGGAGCAACCCCAGAGGGCATCTGCTCCAGAAAGGACATTCTCGTTATAGCTGGACTCAGTTACATTCTAACATAATATCTTTTCCTTCACATTTCTGGGGTTAGATGCTTAGGAAGTTAGCCCCTAGAAGGTTATCTCAACCCAACACATGTATGAAGTGAGCTACAGACCTCAAGTCTTAGGAGGATTTCCAAAATCTCCAGGAGAGTGGCTCAAAACAATCTAGAATACACAGGTGGAAGATTTTCTAGCCCACCTAACCTCACAAAATAAAAGCATTATTATAAGAGACAAAACCATATCCAAAAACATCTCCCTTACCTGAGCAATGGGCTGATAGCAATTGACCAGACTCGGTCTTCAGTCTGGATGGTGTGTAAGCACTGCCCCAGCCGGCCTGAGGCCAAAGGCCATACCTGGAAACGGGAGAGGAGATGCTCTTGTTGGCATTGCCTGCGATTGGTATGGGGGGAGAAAGATGCACCTGGTGTGGTGATTGTCCCTAGGGGGGGTGGGGAAATGGAGAATCCTTTCTGTCTTGTATACACAGAGCTCAGGGTATCAGCAGAGGGGCCTCTCCAGCTTCTGGATCGCCTACCACCCAAATAGACCCTGGCTTCCAGTCCTAACCACCCTCTTTTATTTCTACCTGATAGCCCTTACTTACCAGCCAATTTTATACTAGCGAATCAGAAGTTCCACATTCCTCAGCTGAGACTTGACTGAGATGAGCGGGTAGATGGGGCTTGCTTCTCTCAGCAACCTCCCCATGTTTGTGGATTTTCCTTTTTCCTACCTCTCACCAAGATTTTACTTGGTGGGGGTGGGGAGAGGAAGGAAAGATCAAGGTACAATGTGGGAGGACAGAGACAGAATTAGAGTAGAATTAGAGAAAGGAGTAAAAGGAAGATTCAAGGGAAAGAAAGAATGAAAGAAGAGAGACTTCAAAGTGGGAAGGTGGTGTGTTGTTGTTTGTTTGTTGAAAATGCCCAGAATCCAATGCTATTCATGTCAGCAGGGAATTTAGCACCTAGTGTCACCAAAAGTAGCAGAAAAGCTTAACTCTTTTAAGCTTCCATATCTCCTACAGGTTAAAAATATTGCTTGGAGCACATTATCTGGTCCCTATCAGTCAGGAATGTACATTAGCAGCCACTCTGGGCTTAACTCTAATCAACACTCACAGAGCCCTCTCAGCAGTCAGTGCATTTAGAAATCTCCCATTAAGCACAAGGCCCCCCTCACCTTACCCTACCCCAGATGACACGTACAGGGAATAAGCCTCTAACCAAACAGAAAGCAAATCTCAAATGTACAGGGCTGTACCCAGACAGCAGCCAAGGAGGAATCCTGAGGTGGCCAGATGTATCAGCGACCTCTCAAGGTCCCTGCAGTGCTATAAGGGGAACACAACAAAGTCAGTCAGGACCTTAGATGGAAGAACTTTCAGGAAACATTCCTTGAGTTTAAGGAGTAGGTGATGGAGTGGGGGTAGTCCTGCCTTCTTAGGGTCACATGATATCTTTTCCCTATAAAAGGAGAAAATGTTTCTTAGATTTTGTGTATGTATGATGAGGAGGAGGGTGTAAGTTGCTTTTCCCAACATAGAGAAAAGATAATAAATTTAACAAGAAGATCCTGAATGAAGAAGGGCAGAAAACAAAGGTAAATACCCCAACTTTCCTGGTGTGCCATGATTCTGGCTTACTCTTCTAGATCTACAGTCAGGCCACTTTGGTTGTAACTAGATGCACTTCTAATATCTTCTTTCAGATAGCCTCAGCTTGGAAGAGAGGTTTGCCTTTTCCCTGCTGCAAACTCCCTAGGAGGCAGGTTCTTGCTTAGGAGGTGGGGAGACACTGAGGACGCTGATTATAAAATCTATGGGGACAGCCCTAGGCCTGAATTCACTAGCAAATGTACTAGTGGCCTCCATGGAAACGGCTAGTGGATTCCTAGATTGTGCAAACTACAGAACAAGTAGTTCTGGTCTCCATGAGTGGCTCAGGAAGCATGCTGCCAATTCTGAGCATGATCTTGGAAAGTGGCCCTCTCGACTTGCCTCAGCAGCACACTACCCACCAGAAATATGAATATGCTGATCACATCTTCACCCTCAGTGGTGAAATCCAAAACAGACCCATCCGCTGAGAAGATATAACTCACTGGGAGTGGACATTTACACAGTCCTTTGAAAAAGTTGGCAATAGTTATCAAGACCCTTAAAATGACCAAGTCTTCAACTTGGTAATTCTATTGCTGAGACTCTATCCTAAGAAAATGATCCTAAAACAAAGACAAACCCAAATGCTAGAAATATTCCCTGCAGCCTGCGGTAGCAGAAAGAGCATGCATGGGCTTTGGAATCAGACAAATCTGGGTTTGAACCGTAGTTGTTTACTTATCATCGCTGATCTTTGGGATGTTTCATAACTTCTTAGCCTCAGTTTCCTCATGTGTAAATTTGAAAAATAATACCTATCTTTCAAGGTTGCAGTGTGGAAAAGTGAAGATATATGTATAAAGCACCCAGCACAGTAGCCACAGTATTCAGCAGGTATTAGGCATTGATAATGGTGGTTCTCATTACCGTAGGAAAAAACTAGATACAAACATCCACCAATAGGAAAAATGGTAACTAAATTATGGTGAGTCCATTGTGAAGCCATTAAAGACGACACTTACAAATAATTTGTAATAATAATGGAAAACCTTATAAAATAAAGTAGATACAACAGGATATATCGGGTATATAAAATATATTATGAGCACAATTATGTGAAGAAAGAATTACCCTAAAGGATAAAATGAGAAAACGAATAAATGTGAAGTGCTTAGCACAGTGCCTGGTTACACTCTATATTGTTATAAAATAAACAAGCAAACCTATGCATTGAAAAATTACTAAAAGAAGAAAAAAATTCAAATGTTTCCTCCTTCATAAGGTCTCCTCTTTCAAGCCAGATGTGATCTCTCCACCCTCTGAACTTTCTGGCTCTTTCCCTAGAGCCTTACACTTCACAGTCCTGGCCACTTCCAATCAGCTTCATAGCCAATACACGCGTCTCAGTCGCCTTAAGGAGAGAGGCTGTATCTTCTTCCCCATTGAAGAGCCCTGGTGTCTTGTGCACTAAGCCTCACATACAGTAGGTATTTATCAGAATGAATGAAAGAACAGAGAAAAAGGAAGAATTGAAAGAATGGTCAGTACCGGCCCAAGCCTACCAAGAATGTAAGCTACCATCCTATCACATCTCAGGATGGAGCTGGCCCTACTAAAACCCAGAGAGGCAGTCCAAGCTAAGTCACAGTAAGTTTGCAATTAGCGTTGGAGGAGGGGAAAGAAGAGGGCTGTCTGGTCAGCTCAGTCCCTAGCTCAGAAGTCTTGCAAAGAAAATGTTTTGGTTCTCTTCACTCCAATAAAATAAATCTCCTTCCTAAAACACAGTACATATTTGGGGAAAACCAAAAAACCAGGTTATAGATGTTTACAGGCAAACATGACTAAGTTCTTATGTGGGTTTAGGTATTAGAAGCATGTGGAAGCAGCTGTAGAGTTGCAGATGCTACCGAAAAGAAATGAAGAGTCAGTTATAAAAGACCAGCTGTGGCTAAGGTGGAAATGGGCCAGGAAGATGAAGGCAGCTAAATGCAAAGACAACAACAGAAAGCAGAGAACAGAAGCAGCATCCAGAAAGCCAGAAAAGATGAGCTGGCCTGGAGGTCACTGGGGAGTCCTAAAACAGCTGACTAGCTTTCTGGAGTTGAAGAACCAGGGGGGAGAATTCTGTCACTGACCTAAAGGAAATCCTCAAAAGGGATAGGATGTACTGCAGTGACAATTTTAGAATTAGAGTACCTATTTTAATGCTTAAAAAAATCTAAGCTGCTAAATAGGACTGAGTCGGTACTTAAAACACGAAACTAACCCAATATCCCAAGTAAAATTGCTATCATTCTTCAACTGTAAGCAGTCCATACCCCTGAACCGCTACCTGTAGTCATAAAGCTTAGTTGTATATTGCTCTGGGTGTGTGACTACGGAGAATAGGATAGAAGAAAGAGATGTCACTGAAAAGGAAGAGCCAGGGGAAGCTTGAAGCCATGACAAGAAGATGCTAGAATGAGATGGGAGTATCTAGGTCACACATGTCACAAAATGTTTCTATACAAATTAACTTCTGAGCAGTATAGCAACTTAAGGCCAGTCTCTTTGCAAGGAATGGTACAAAGACAGGGACCAATCAGAAACCTGAAGTAAGTATGGGGTACGGGAATGGGAAGTAGGTGACAGGAAATTCAGTTTCCATGTTGGTCCAAAACATTTTCTGGATTTTTCTCAGTCTCCCTATGCTGGTGCGCATGTCTCTCTGACAGACAGAGTGTAAAGAAGAAAATAGCAAAGGGAGGAGAAACTTCCATAAATAGAAGGGAACATAGTTAGCCCTTCTTTTTACATAAATCAGCAACATTTTTACATGAAGGAGTAATCACCAGAGGGTACGTGGAGTCAGAAAAGTCAGTGAGTCAAGATTGCAACTTCTCTTTCCCTATATGTCTTAGAGGCCCTTTTGCTGACACAGACAAGCATTTTGCTCCTATTAGCACTATGGAGTCTCCAGATACTGGGAAACAGACAAGCAAGACAACTATTGGGCTTCCTGTACCATCAACTGAATTGTCAGCAAAGTTCCCACAGCAGCCCCCAGGACCAGGCCCTGGCTGGTGGCTGCTGGACACAGGAATGGAGAAAGTTCTCTGTTTCATGGGTTGGAGCCTATTTGACCGAGACATGGATGAGCTGAGTCCATAAAGCAGGGGTCACACCACTTATCAGCCTCACTCTATCATGCCTTGGCAGATGTCTGATTGTAGACCAGGCAATTTGGCAGTGATGGAGCAAACAACGCCCTTCTCTCGTCGTCTTTCTACTGCTTACTGACCACATGACTCTCCAGAGAAGCAATAAAAACACATTTTAATTATCAGCCTGATTGCTTATAAACAAGGTGGTGAAAAATTAACCTCCCTAAACAGAGAGCAAGCAAAAGAAGGGAGATTTTAAAATAAAATATTGGGGTCAGAACTCAACCCACAAACTTGAGGAAACTCAGCTCAGGGAGGAAAAGCTGGCTAGGCCCTCTGTTTTTGAGTTCACACCACATTTCAAGTGAGTGGCAAGCTTCCCAGCCACTGTCCACTCCTTTCCCAGGCCAGCTGGCAGTGACACAGCCTGGCATGGCAAGCTGCATGCCAGAGGCATATAAGTGAGTCCTTTATTGTGTTGTTTCCCCTCCTCCCCCAACCCAATGCTCTCAGCCAATCCCAAGACTCAAGGCCCTATCCACCCTCTCCCACCCTACTCCCTATAGACAGGAGGAAATAGCAGTATGTAAGGGGGAGACCACCTCACCTTGGCCGTCCTGTCCCTGGAGCCACTCACAATGATGCCCCCTTTGCAATCCACACAGTTCACCTCCTGTTCATGAGCCGAGTACTTGACAGTGAAGGTGCTATGAATCTTATGAACGCCAATCTTCCCATCTCTAGGAGAGAAATAAGGAGCCCACCCCCAATAGCCAATTATTCTTTCTGTAGAAAGAGAACAAGTCTACAGAAACAGCCCAAGTCTCCAGTGACATCCAAATTTGCTAAGCATTAGGCAATTCAGCTCAATAAGGTGCTGAGCTTCTAGATGCTTTCACTTCTTCAGTACACTGGGGGCTGAACAGAGCTGAGAGACAAAACAAATTTCCCCCTTGAGATTATCGAAACCAGCTTCACTTTTCATTAAAGGCTCTTCCTGTTTTCCTTCTCCAGCTAACCCTATTAAGTGCCTTTGGTAAATCTCTCTGCTTTAAATAGAAAAAAAACACTACCCCTTTTTCTAGTCTCCCTCCTCATCCCTTTGGAGTTGAGACAGAGAAGTCCCTGAAGAATACTACAGAAGAGGGTGGAAGGAGAAGCCTGCAGCACTTACCCTCCTGCACTGATAATATGCGAGTTGGCCAGCACGAAATGGCAAACGTCCTCATCATGCCCTGCAAAGACTCCCAGGGGCCTCCGGTTCAAGCTGGCACCATCTGGGCGGAACTGATAGGCCAGGATGAAATTAGCCTGGGATATGTACAAAGAATCACCCTCTAGCTGCATCCATGGCATCTGACTGCAGAGATGGAAAACAAAATTTTAGGATCATCAAGACACAGCATGAAATTCGACTCCAATCTTTGAGAGGCTGACCAATCCCCAACTTAGCAAGGATAACCTGCAAGGCTAAGTCGATACCCTACTCCTCTCCTTCAAAATTACCTACCCTTAGGCTACCCTCAGAAAACCAAAGTGACTGAGCTTTGCGGTGACCTAATCTTCTTTGGATACTCTAAAAGAAATTCAGAATTAAAAGACCAATTAAATATCACTTTTTGGGCCGGCCCCGTGGTTTAGCGGTTTAAGTGCGTGCGCTCCGCTGCTGGCGGCCTGGGTTCGGATCCTGGGCGCACACCGACGCACTGCTTCTCTGGCCATGCTGAGGCCACGTCCCATATACAGCAACTAGAAGGATGTGCAGCTATGACATACAACTATCTACTGGGGCTTTGGGGGGAAAATAAATAAATAAATAAAATCTTTAAAAAATTTAAATAAATAAATAAATAAATATCACTTTTAATTGGGGAATGCTTAAGACTGGAATTACCACCAGCAACCTAGACTTCTTGTGGGTAGGTGGAGCTTAGAAAATGCAATGATTGATGGGTGGGGAAGCACAAAAAGAAACCTTCCATCCAGATGAAATAATTTTCTTTCATTCTGCATCCTCACTGATTTGAAGTATAAGTGATAAGTTTCAAGGTTCCAAGACTCCCATTCATACTCTTTCGCAATAGACCAGTTAGGGCGTGATAGAGACGAGAAGAGTGAGCCCAGGGAAACCCCAATCTCTTGTCCTACTGGAGCAAAGGGGCCATTTATAAGTGAAAGGAATAAGCCATTTAGGAAAGGATGCTAATGTCCTGATTAGATACCTGGATCCTTACAGGGGAAATCTATACTTCTATATTAGAGAGTAAGTGTGGCAACGGAAAAACACAGCCCCAGAGTCGTCTACTACAGTTCAGGGGCTACAGAGAAATAGTCAGCCCTCATAGGCAGCTGATAAGAGAAATCCACAAATGGTTAAAGATTCCCTCTACAATCTGGCAGGAAGAAGAAAGGTTAAAGCCACAGGCCAGTCCCGTGGCACTGAGTGAGCCTTAAGAAGAAAAAAGACTCTGCCAGAGACCAGGCTCTGTGGGGGGAACTAATCCCGTTTCCCAAGGTAGACATCCCAGCAGCCTGTCCTACTCTACAGAGGGGTCCCGGAGCTACCAGGTCCCCAGCAAAGCACAGGGACAGCTGATTCATCCCCATTTACAGAGTCATCATCTCCCACTGCCAAGCCTGTCTGAGCAAACTGGGCTGTGTTTCTTCCCCAAACTCTTTAATAGAAGCGTCATGGGAATGTGGAAAAGTTCTGCAAATTGACTTGACGGGCCATTAAATGCAGCTTGGACTTTGTAGTAACTGAGTTTCTGCTCATGAGGTTTCACAAGTGTGTGCATATATTATATGGAACATGTGTAGAATGTGTATAGATGCCTACATTCTCACTCACTCTGCACGTTCCTCTTCAACATCCCCTTGCACGAGTTTGTGGCACACTCAAGTGGGCAGCAAGCAGAGGGATTTGGAATTCACGTGTTTAGAGCCATCGGGTAAACAGCCACTTGTCTAGGACAAGAAGCCAGGTTCATGCCAGGTGAACAGTGGAGAATCCCAGGGCAGCCTGGTAATAGTTTTGTGTGTTTATTTGCCAAACTGCTTGAAACCAGCCCAAAAAGACGCCAGGGACAAATTGATAGAGAAATAAACTCTATATTTTGGTATTAAAAGGCAAAAGGCGGAAGCCAAGGGTAAAGTCTTTCATCATAAAAATCCATCTTTCTCCCCCGTAGTTTCTTTACCATCACCACCACCACATAATTCGCAGCAACCAATGTCAGTGAAACCAGCAGACACTGGACACAAGCAAGAGAGAAAGAGTCATCAGATGAAGAAGCCTGCCTGTATCTATCAGCACAGGTACAGGTCAACCTGGAACGAGGAATCATGATGTTCCCTATCCATTCCAACCAATCAACAAAGTGCACTTTTTTTGGTAGGGAGTCAAATAATAACTATGAAATAATTTAGCACTGATGAAGCATAAAATTTGTGGCGCTAACAGTACCAAAGCCATTATCTAAATTTCCTGGCACTTTTTCTAAGCTCTACCTCTAACATATATATCCAAACCTTTAGATCCTAATTTGCCTTTTAATAAAGTAGGGGAGAGGACTACAGGAAGCCAAGAGTGGGTTTAACTCCCTAGAATAGAATATTTAAAGAAAAATAATTGTAAAACTAAATGAGTTGAAATATTGGCTTCGTTTACTTCTTTTGATGAGATACACTAACAGTGGTTACTTCTGAGTGGTAGGATAATAGGTAAGTTTTATTTTCTTCTTTAAACTTTTCTATTTTTTTCAAATTTCTACAATAAACATTTATTATTTTTATAATCATAAAAAATACAGAATTCGTTAAAATAAAGTACATTTTTTGTAATCCTTTTTTTAAATGTGAAAAAAAGTTGTCCCTCTGATGCCCCCTTTGTGGTGTTTAAAGGATCACCAGTGCCACATCACCCAAGATAGGCACATTGACACTCTAGCTAGGACCATATTTTTCACTTCCCCAGTGCGCGTCTCTGTCGCAGGTAGTTTAAAAGAGTCAAGAGGCTACTTACCTGCATCTCCACTTCAGCAGAATCCCCTCTCGGCAGTGCCCCAACCTCCAGTTCTGAGACACCTTCACCCGTTCCTTCACTGGTACACTGGCCATCCTGTGTCCAGACACAACAGATAATCCACTCACTACAACTCATTGCCAACCAGAGAAAATTCCAAAGGTTTACAAGTCAGGACTCAGGAACATCCAGAATATATCTGGATATAAGTAAAGGGGTTAGGAGACAAGAAAGGAATAACCCTTCTCTCTCAGTACTAGGATAACCAAGAAAGCCAAAGACAACAGCCTGCCTTTAAAGTGTCTATAGCAATGCCAAAGCAATCTAATGGAGAAAAGATGACAACGGGTGCTGGAACCACTGGCTGGCTAGCCATAAGGAAAAAAAATGAACCCTGACCCCCACCTCACATCATACAGAAAAAATTCAAAATAGGGGCCGGCCCCGTGGCTTAGCGGTTGGGTGCGCGCGCTCCGCTGCTGGCGGCCCGGGTTCGGATCCCGGGCGCACACCGACACACTGCTTCTCCGGCCACGCTGAGGCTGCGTCCTACATACATCAACTAGAAGGATGTGCAGCTATGACATACAACTATCTACTGGGGCTTTGGCGGGAAAAAAATAAATAAATAAAATCTTAAAAAAAAAAAAATTCAAAATAGATCACAGACCTAAACATAAAATCTAGAACTATAAAGCTGTTAGAAGAAAATACATAAAAATATCACTGTGACTTAGAGGGTAGGCAAAGGTTTCTTAAGACAAAGAAAGTGGGGCTGGCCCAGTGGCGTAGTGGTTAAGTTAGCGCGCTCTGCCTTGGCAGCCCAGGGCTCGCAGGTTCGAATCCCGGACGCAAACCAACGCACCGCTCATCAAGCCATGCTGTGACAGCATCCCACACACAAAATAGAAGAAGATGGGCACAGTTGTTAGCTCAGAGCCAATCTCAACAGTTGTTAGCTCAGAGCCAATCTTCCTCACCAAAAAAAAAAAAAAATGACAAAGAAAGCAATAACATAAAAGAAAATTTCAATAAATTAGACTTTATCAAAATTAAAAACTTCTGCTCACCAAAATGAATACACAAGCCATGGTTTGGGAGAAAATATTCACAAAATGTATATTTGACAAAGGGCTTATATCCAGAAAATATGGGGAAATCCTCTCTGGATATGTATACACATTTTTTGAAGGTCAATAAGGAACTCTCCTACATTCTTGGTGGGAGAGCAAAATGGTAAAGCCATTTTGGGAAAAGGTCTGGCAGTTCATTATAAACCTAAACATACTCTATGACCTAGCAATTACGCAAGAGAAATGAAAGCATATGTTCACAAAAAGACTTACACAAGAATATTCATAGGAAGTTTAGTCATAATAGCCCAGGCATCCATCAACAGGAGAATGGATAAACACACCACAGTGTATAGTCATACAATGGAATACTACTCAGCAAAGAAAAGAAAGAACTATTGATATACACAGTAATGTGGGTGGATCTCAAAAATATTATGATGAATGAAAGAAATCTTACACAAAAGAGTTCATATTGTATGATCCCATTCATGTGAAGCTTGAGAAAGACAACTAATCTATGGTGAAAAAATCAGAATAGTGATTTCCACCAGGATGGGGAAAGGGATTGACTGGGAAGGAACACGTAGAAACTTTCTGGGTAACATTCCATATCTAACTCTTGAAGAGATTTGGGTTACACAGGTGTGTACGCATTTGTCAAAAACGAATCAAATGATACACTTAAAATTTGAGCATTTCACTGTGTATAAATTTGTCTTGAAACATAAACTAATATACTCTAGTCAATGATGTGCATGGATGCTGAAGTGTTTAGGGGTGAAGTGTACTGATATCTGCAACTCACTTTGAAATGCATAATAAAGCAAATATAGTAAAATGTTAACTGTAGAATCCAGGTGGTGGGTATATGAGTGTTCATTGCAAAAGTCACTCAAGTTTTCTATGTTTTAAAATTTTCATTTAAAAAAATATTGGAGGGGGGTGTCAATAGTACTTTCTGGATGAGGAAAGTTAAAACAGTAAGAGATGAGGGAACACACCAGCAGTAGGAATGGCATAGTTTGGGGCTGGGTTGGAGTAGTAGGGGATAGAGAGAAGAGTTCAAAGCCCCTTTGAAACTGCCCCTTTGGAGAGAATTTTGAAACCGTGGGCAGGGATTTGAAAATTCCATTTCAGGCCCCCTCATCTCCCTTGTGTCTCCTTGGCTTGGTCCACTGGACAATACAAGGTACACTGCTTGGGACACAGAGTGATCACTGCCATGTCTACTGAGAAAAGGAAAGAGACACATATTTCTTCTCCTTTACTATACCTTCACACTTACCACTCTTTACTAAAAGGCAGCAAGCAAGTCCTGCTTTCAAGATTCTAACACATACAGGTTAGAAAGGATGGTTGTGGCAAGCAGAAAGAGAAGATACGTAATCCATTCCTAGATAAATAACTGCCTCCTGGCCTAGAATAATTATTTTTGGTTAATAAAGTAATAAATGCCCATAGTAAAAAAAAAAATGCAGATAATATGAAAGGTTAACAATGCAAAAGTGAGTCATTCTCACTCCTGGCTGAGACCCTCCCTAGAGGCAACTATATTATACACTGTAGATTCATATATATTGGGGTGTGTATGTATTTATACATATATCCACTTTTTTGTTGTTGTTGTTGAGGAAGATTCTCCCTGAGCTAACATCTGTGCCAATCTTCCTCTATTTTGTTTGTGGGTTGCCACCACAGCATGGCTGACAAGTGGTGTGGATCCACACCTGGGATCCAAACCCTCGAATGTGGGCTGCCAAGAGCATGCCAAACTTAACCACTACGCCATGGGGCCAGCCCTATATACCCACTTTTTAATTTAAAAAATAGTAGTATACTATTCTACTCATTGCTTTCTTCACTTAACAATATGTCTTGGGGATCATTCTGTATCAATACATTTAGATTCATCTCATTCTCTTTAACAGCTGCACAGAATTCCATTGTGTGACTCAATTGTCATTTAACCAGTCACCTACTTGACACTTATAAGGTGTCCAGACTTTAGCTATTATAAACAACAAATATCTTTATACCTCAATTTACGTGTGAGAATATATCTAGAGAAAAAAATTATTAGCAATGATATTGAATGAGTCAAAGGAAATTGTGTATTTTTTCTTTTGATGGATACTGCCAAATTGTCATCCAAAAGAGGTTATACCAACTTATACTTCCAATATCATATTAGAGTTATTTATTTCTGAATATCCTTGATTTTCTTCTTTTTAATTTTGGAATAATTTTAGATTTCCAGAAAAGTTGCAAAGATTGTACACAGAGTTCTCATGTACCCTTAACTGGGCTTCCCTAATGTTAACATCTTATATAACCGTAATATATTTGTCAAAACTGAGAAATGAACACTGGTACATTACTATTAACTAAACTCCAAATTTTACTCAGAGTTCACCAATTTCTCCACTGTCTTTTTCTGTCCCAGGATCCATCTAGCATCCACATTGTATTTAATTATCATGTCTCCTTAGTCTCCTCTGGTCTATAGCAGTTTCTCAGTCTCTCCTTATTTTTCATGATCTTGACATTTTTTAATTTTCTTTTTATCTTTGCCATTCTAAGAAGTAAAAAAAGATTCCTCCCATGTTGTTTAAACATGTATTTTTTCCAATTATGGACAAAACTGAATATCTGGTCATGTGTTTGAAAGCCATTAGCATTTCTTCTGTGAAATGTTATCATGACCTTTGCCCCTCTTCCTATTAGGTTCATGGTCTTTTTCTTGCAAGTTCATAAAAGCTCTTTACATATTCTGTGTTGCCAATTTTTTTCCAATTTATTATTTTCTTTTTATTTAATTTTTAGCTTTTTATTCATGCAGACATTTTTAATTTTTATATATCCATAATTTCATGTCTATCTTTTGAAACAATTTAAAGAGAGCCAACACTTAGGAAAGGTTTTCTTGTTACAATTTTCTGGCTAAAAGAAAGTTAACCCAAAACATATTTTTATTTCAAATCTTACTACTGAGAATCTTTCAATATAGTAAGTAGAGTTTAGTTAACCCAACTGAATACTATTTAAAAATGATTTTAGAGTGCCATAATTTCTCTGGATCATGCTTCCAAAGATAATGTATTTAACAAACATTTAATATGGTGCTTATGATGCGCCAGGCACCATTTTCATTTACCCAATGCCTTATGCATAGTAAGTATCAATAAGTGTTTGTTGACAGAGCAATTATACTTCCTGCATTCTATCCAATTAGATGACATTGGAAATAAGCAAACTGTCTTTCAATTTTAAAAAAGAAAGCAGAAATTAACCAAACTGATGCGAACTTACTATATAATGGACAAAGTAAAATTTTACAGTAAAGAAAGAAATCACTACTTAATTAGTGCTGTTGGGGTTGTAGAGCATGTTCCCAACTTTATTAGAAAGGAGGGAGGGAGGGGCCGGCCCGGTGGCGCAAGCGGTTAGGTGCGTGTGCTCCACTGCAGCGGCCGGGAGTTCGCCAGTTTGGATCCCAGAAGCACACCGATGCACTGCTTGGCAAGCCGTGCTGTGGAGGCGTCCCATATAAAGT